AATTACTATGGTAATACAAAAATAAAAGCACCATTCCATACAACGCACTCTCTCTCAATACTCTCATACCAAAAATTGTATGCATCAAAATAAACAATTATAATTAAAAAGCTTTTCACTTGATATGCGTTGTAATGAAGAGTTCTTCCTTTAAATTCAGCCACACTGGAATACATGTAAAGTTTCATGGTAAAAGTAAACTTTAGCCCCTCCATTCAGCACTTACTTGACTTACGACACACATCCAGGGGTTCTTCTCCCCGTCTGGCCACATTTGGGTCATCATGGTGCCATGCACCAAAGATATAAATAGGTGGTCGCATTTTACTTTCACTGGTTTCACAAGGCTTTATCTTGGGATTGTTAAACTTCTCATTGCTAGGTTCAAACTCCTATCTCCATAAATATTGCAAATGGGAAAATTTGAATCGCTCGCAAACTTAGTCGTATCTCGTACTTCCTCCATTTTTCAGATTCTGAACGAAATGATTTGAAAGTACTGAATGTCATTCACGAAAATAGGTATTGGTACAAAATGAAACTTAAATTCTACAGAACATGGGCATGAACTGTAATAATTTGGGGCTGAAAGAAAACATTTTTTTTTTTCATCAGCCATGACAGCCGTGACAAGAACTTCCAAAAGTCAGAGATTGGGAGTTAGAACAAGACAGACTCAGTTCGCGAGTAGCAAAGGAGGGAAAAAACCACATCACATCAACATGAAGGATTATTTCAGGGTAGGGAAAGAGAGAGACAAAGAGAGAGACACACAGAGACAAAGAGAGAGACACACAGAGACAAAGAGAGAGACACACAGAGACAAAGAGAGAGACAAAGAGAGACAAAGAGAGAGAGATAAAGAGAGAGACAAAGAGAGACAAAGAGAGAGACACACAGAGACAAAGAGAGAGACACACAGAGACAAAGAGAGAGAGATAAAGAGAGAGACAAAGAGAGACAAAGAGAGAGACAAAGAGAGAGACAAAGAGAGAGACAAACAGAGACAAAGAGAGACAAAGAGAGAGACAAACAGAGACAGAGAGAGAGACAAAGAGAGAGACAAAGAGAGAGACAAACAGAGACAGAGAGAGAGACAAAGAGAGAGACAAAGAGAGAGACAAAGAGAGAGACAGAGACAAAGAGAGAGACAAACAGAGACAAAAGGAGAGCAAGAAAGTAAAATCTCAAAAAATATTTCCAAGGATTAGTAAAAAAAAAGAAAAAAAGTTCACTTTTCCAAATACTACTACAGGTACATTCAGATCTCAAATAAATCTCCCTACAAAGTCCAAAAAATCTCCATTGCCACTGAAAGACAAAAAATTGAGGAAAATCTGAATTACCGGTATTCTCTTTGAGTGGGTTGCAAAACAATAAATATACTCACTGCGCACCTGTGCAAACCCTTCAATGGTGAAATGTCACACACAAGTACCTATACTGTGATGAGTACATGCAAGATATTTACCAGCATGTATCATTTCAGCCATCTTCTATTTTTCTTTCCTTGCAGGCAGAGACCAGTTTGTGTCTATAAGGGAGTTAAACATTCAAATAAAAACAAAATGATTCGAGTCTCTGTAGAACTGGCAAGGAGACTGACAATCAAAGCAACACATCGGATTATTCAGACAATCAAACAGACACATTGAACTATTCAGACAACCAAACCGACTGATTGTACTATTCAGACAATCAAACCGACACATTGTACTATTCAGACAATCAAACCAACACATCACACTATTCAGACAATCAAACCAACACATCACACTATTCAGACAATCAACAACACATTGTACTATTCAGACAATCAAACTGACACATAGTACTATTCTAACAATCAAACCGATGCATCGGACTATTCACATTTTGAGGCGGCTCACACAACATCAAACAGCAGGTACATTTTTTACAAACAGCTTTCCCCCAGTTCCTCAGCACAGGCGTACTCACAAACTATTGCACACACTCGCATAAATATTGTTTAAATGTCTCACTACTTTTTCCCCAACCACAATAGAGTGAGCAGAAAAACTCAAACACGCACACAGGACAATCAGTTCTTGTCTTCACAGTAGTTTCTTCCGTACTGCAGCAAGTTTAGTGTTTGTGCCAGCAGCTCACAGCAGCTGTTTACGTCTCACATACATCACAGCAGCTGTTTACGTCTCACATACATCACAGCAGCTGTTTGCGTCAGACGTACAGACATACATCACAGCAGCTGTTTACATGCTGTTTACGTCAGATATACATCACAGCAAGCTGTTTAACTCAGACATACATCACAGCAGCTGTTTCTGTACTGTTTAACTCAGACATACATCACAGCAAGCTGTTTAACTCAGACATACATCACAGCAGCTGTTTCTGTACTGTTTAACTCAGACATACATCACAGCAGCTGTTTCTGTGCTGTTTAACTCAGACATACATCACAGCAGCTGTTTCTGTGCTGTTTAAATCAGACAAACATCACAGCAGCTGTTTACATCAGACAAACATCACAGCAAGCTGTTTAACTCAGACATACATGCAGCTGTTTCTGCGCTGTTTACGCCAGACATACATCACAGCAGCTGTTTCTGTGCTGTTTACGTCAGACATACATCACAGCAGCTGTTTACGCCAGACATACATCACAGCAGCTGTTTCTATTTACTTCAGATATACATCACAGCAAGCTATTTACGTCAGACGTACAGACATACATCCCAGCAGCCATCTACGCGAGCCACATATCAAGTATATACAAGATCACGAGGGGGGGGGGGGGGGGAGAACAAGCAGCAGGTTTGTGCATAATTGTGGTTCACACACACACACAGGGAATGTGGCCTCTTCTTATCACATATCACATCGACTAGCGTCATCTTATGGTGAGGGGGAAAAAAAAGTATTTACAACAGGAGGGACACATGAACCGTGATTATGCAGGACAAACGTTTTGTTTCGTCATAAACAAAGTTTCTGAAACTGAATACAAATATTGATTCTTCCACCCAAGAGATCTCAAGAGGTGAGAATAAAAATCTTTGTTACAACTTAACCTATTTTTAAAAAAACCTAAAATGTACAAGTACATCAAATGTATAAATCTCAAAAACTGACACCAGCAGTAGTACCCCTACCAAAATAAAGTCTTCCTGATGTATATTGTTTTTATAATGGCAGGGAAAGAGGTAAACAATAAGAACACCACTCAAACTGACATAGATATATATATGTGGGACAATTTGGCTCTAATGTAGTCCGAACTGTTAAAATATTGACTTTGTCTCAAAATCAGTCCTCCACCACCCCCAAAACGTAGGCCTAGATATTTTTTCTAAATGGACAAAACTACCTCATTAGTCTCACTTGCTGCACATGTAATTCCCACGCAAAGTACAATTTTCAAAGAATAATAAAACAGCGGATATCTAGAGAAATAGAATCAAGACACGACAACCCTAGTTCAACAAACAGGGCGCTGCACAGTGGCGACCAGCTATGGCATGTTCTGTATTAGCGTCATATTGTGCATTTATGAATGTTTATGTGTATGTATTAATGTGAGGATGCATTTATAATTATGTATTTATGTGTGTGTGTATGTATGTTTGCCATTGTAAACCAAACTGCCCTTCTGGGATCAATTAAATGACATATATCTTTTTTTAAAGTGTAAAACGACGTCGTATACAGAGACCATCTTAAAGCTACATCCCAACCACGGCTACACTCCCACTCCTGGAGGTCGTTGGTCATTTTCCTATCCAAAACACGGGCAGCAAGAAATAAACCATAACCTTTTGTTTCAGCGCTCGGTGGAAGCGGCTGATTTTGAGCATTCTCACGGCATGGACAGCGATTTCTAAAATGAGCTTTTCATAAACACGACAAAACGCAACACAAGGGTAATCCAGTCACAGCCTCCACGGGAAACAAAATATGGTGAAAATTAACATGTACACCGAACGATTTTCCACCAAGGGCTTCAAAAAGTTATTAACTCCCAACAGTTTTTCCCTTGAAAACCAAACCCAAAAAAAAGTTCAGTTGTTTAGGAAACTATAAAAAATGTTTCAAAAATCAAATTTGCCCAGTTTGATGTTACTACATAAAGTGTACACTTGATTTTGGTGAATCCATCAATAACATTAGCAATTTTTTTTCATACTTGAATCAACTATGAGAAAAATCTTGTTCAGCATGAGGCTACATTTATGAAAATACATCAAAGCAGGAAAGAAAATCTGAAATAAAAACATCAAAGAACTGAGATTCATAATAAAACAAAAACAAACTGAAATTACATCACAACAATTTAAAAATAAATAAAAATGAAACAGCACAAAATGGGTACAGCTAAAACAAATTATTATGAAGAGACATTTCCCAATAAAAGAGACTTTCTCACCCAAATACAAAGCCCCGCCCACTTGAGATTTTACAAAATCTCACCAAACCCACAAACAAAAAACCCAAACGTTAACCCCATTTTGTACTTTTTCTGTTCTCCTTCGATTTGTCCATCAGTTACAGAAAACCCTAACACTACAAAAATGTGAATAAAAACAGTGCCATTTACTTTTTGACCAACAACAGTGTGGACCGTGGCTGAAGACAGAGAACTAAAAAAGTCTAGCAACATCAGCGAAGGAGCAGTAACGTGTTGCAATAGTCTCACAGACACACTCAGCCCTCAGTCACATTGTAACACAGCAGCAATCGTAAAACCAGGCCATCTTTTCATAACACAAAAGTTGATTTTAGAATAAATGGTTGCTTTTAAGGACAAACGGGCTAACCCAAAGTTCAGGGGTTTCCAGAAATCTTGACCTACACCAAAAGTGGGCATTGTCCTACCTATAGGAAAAGTTTGGTTTCATTGGAGTGTATATTTGTTTGAGTATAGAGAAAACTCTCCTTGTCTTTTAAAGAAACTGAACAAGGGACAAAAACTTAACCTTTGGTTTTCTCAAAACAACATATTTTGGGATAGCCCCTTGTGCTTGAAAGTGGCCAAATGTCACACTTGATTTCTTTTTAACTCCATGTCCATGACAAAGTTGAAAATCAATCTTGGAAGATGATACATCACTTCTATTGAGAACTCAAAAGGAACCAAAATTCCCAGCCTCTGTGAATCAGCCATGCTCAATAAAAACCTATGCCTTCTCAAAAACTCCCTGAACCTTCACCCTCCAAAAATGAGAGAAAAACTGATAGACAAAAATCTCTCCGCATTCATGTTCACGTCATCCTATTATAACTCAACATTTCCCCACAAATGTCCAGCGTGAGTTCTTCTGGTGTAGCAATTCTCCCCCCGACTCAAATGGCACAAAAGGTTGACATTCAGAACATAGATTTAGTGCACCTGTGAGAAGACAAAAGAAACACACAATATCAAGCCAGCAAACAAAATCAAGGAATCAAGTCCGGTTGCACCAAAAACAACACACAACCATTTCACAGGTCATGGCGTACAACAAAATAGTTCCTGCTCACTTCAGCATAAAACAACACCAGGCTCATAAATCTCATTCAAAATAACAATTATTGATATAAATAGCGGTGATCTCAAGAACAAGGATCAGGTAGTGAAAACCACGAGAAAGGTGGGGAAAAAAACAAAACGAAACCAAATAGGCCACATTCCTTCCCGCCTTAACCCACATCCTAACTAAAAGCAATTAAATGACAGAACTTTCTGGCATCAGAAATATTGGCAGTTGCCACAAATCTTAGAATACAATGACATACAGAAAAATTCAGCATGACATGATTTTGCACACCTCAAACTTTCCAAAGTTACATCCAGAAAATTTAGGTACGGTACACCTTAATTAAGCTTCACCAAAAACTTTGTAACATGTTTCAATAACTTTCCTGTACTAAACGCTAACAATCACTAACAACTTTCAAATATGATCTCCATGAAGGAAAGTGACAAGGTCACAGGTCAATCCATACATCTGAAGGTCATCTCGGGACAGAGCAGGGGGTTGAAAACCGATCACTGTATGCTTTTAGCTGGCCAGCACAGTCCTGTTGCGTTGATTCAAAACTTGTCTTTGCTTTGATGAATATTGTCGTTGCCATGGCCACAGCGGACTCAGCCATCACCGACTGTCCGATAGATAACTCCGCACGACAGATAAACATACTAGGAATATCGACAAATAGGAAACCCGGAGGGCGGCACAGCCACACTGTTTGCTGTTCTCCTGTGGAGAAAAAAGTTTAAGTTTTAGGAAGTTTTACGGTACTTGCAACACAATAAGGTCATATAAGTGCCGAAGATTAGAGGAGTTACAAGAACGTAACAAACACAAAAAAGAAGAAGGGGAGATAAGGACGATAGACATTTGATAGGAAAGAAGAAGCAAACCACACCAGAGCACCCGCAAACCACCCACACTGAAGGGGTTAATAACCAGAAAAGAAGCTTTGGGTCCCACCTCCTTCCCCAGCACTCATCCTGGTTTTTGATAGATTGATTGAGTAAGTGTTTTACGGCGCTATCGACCCAATGTACTCACCCTGGGGTCAGCGTGATAGCACCCAAAAGGCTGGAGTCTCTTGCGTGGATTCTGCGCCAGCTCACAGATGATGCTCTCCTCCTCTTCCTCCGACACCTCCCGGGGAGCCTGGGATAGTGGGGGATACTCCTCCGTGCACTCCTCGCACATGGGGTCGGTGACGATGAACAGCAGGTTGGTGTGCCTCATCTTCACCACTGTGTAATTCCTGGTGATCAGAGACAGCACAACAACACACATTCAACACATGAAGTCACACCGGTCTCAGGGTATGGGCCACAAGGAAAGAGAAAGAGAGGAAGGGGTCTAAAAGTGCTTGGAAAAGTGACTTTGATTGTGAACTAACACATGGGATATCGTTGGAAAGAGGTGAGCATATAGCCCAGGATAGTTAGTTTTAGTTTTAGTAAGTTTTTACGGTGTTCGCAACTTGGATGTCAACAGAGAAGTCCCTACAGGGAATCAGGCTTACTCTGCTCACCTCTCTAGCTTCAACAGCACAAAGTCTGCTTCCACTATCAAGGCACCCCGGAAATAGTGGGTAACAAGAGTGTGACAAACATACAAAAGAAGTTAAGGAAAAAAAGACGATAGTAAGGATGAGGAAAGAAAAAGCAGCAGTTCGCTGTTGCAGTTCAGGCTCAGGTATGAGCATGACATCGATGAATCAGCCCATTAAAAATTTTACTGTGCAACAGAACATGGTAATGCCCCCCCCTTTTGGAATGGCCTAAAGACACATGGGATGTGAAAGGAAGGTGAGGTACAAAGATATCAAAAGAAGACAGCTGAAGTCAGAACAACATTCAGCATCGCACGATTGACCAAAACCCTGGTTTGTTTTTGTTTTTGTAGAGGTTTTACGGCGCTCGCAACTGCATAAGGTCATATGAGTGCCAGAAGATTAGAGGTGTTACAAGAGAGTAACAAACATAAAAAAGAAGAAGGGGAGATAAGGACGATAGATGTCTGATAGGAAAGAAGAAGCAAACCACACCAGAGCACCCGCCAAACACCCACATCCCACGATAGATGAAAACCGTAATTACCTGGTACAGTTCTGACACTGGACGCCAAAAGTCATCGGCCGGGGGTCCCGCTGCTCCAGATAATATTGCTGCATCGCTTCAACGCACGGCTTCTCCTCATCCTCCCCATCCTCCTCCGCTGTGTGAAACAAAAGGAAAGTACAAATATATACAATACTTTGTGAGGTATCGTGGTGAGATCAGGCGCTCGTCAAAATAATGAAATCCGAAAAATCGATATTTTTCGGCCAGTTTGGACTTTTTTTTTCAAATAAAAAGTAAACAGACTCATTACGCTGCCTTCCAAGCTATCAAGCATGACAAGGACCTGAGAGTAAAACTGGCATTTATACGGTTAACAAGCCCAAGAGTTCAAATCTCTGCCCAGCTGGAAACAACTACAACGACCATCAATCATCCCTTTACTGTACGACGATGGAGAAAAGTCAACGAGGATAGAGATGTTTTAATAAGAGTTTTACAGCACTTGCAACACAAAAAGGTCATATAAATGCTGAAAATTAAAGGCATTACAAGAGAGTAATAAACACAAAACAGAAGGAAGAGAAATATGGAGGATAGATGTTTGATAGGAAGAAGGAAAAAACCACACCAGAGCATCTGCCAACCACCCATCACAAAAGAAGGAAGAGAGCTAAGGACGATAGATGTTTGATAGGAAAGAAGACCCACCAACCACCCACGAGGATGGAGAAAAGTCAACTTACCCCAAACTTGAGTGCTGGGGGAAAACAACCAGCTGAAACACAAAAGAAAAACCATTGATGACAATTTGGTCCTAAACTACACGAGCTGCCAAGGCAACTTCTTCCTCCCATCCTCACCACAGACAATACTCCAGGCCTATACTTCCCTAAGCTGACAAAGCGCCTTTTTTTTGGTTTTTGGCGCATTTTTAAAAAATCTGTTAAATTGATAGCCCAATCAGTTACCCTATTTATGGGAAAAAAATCAAAGTGAAACTTGACTAGTTTTTTAATAAATTAGAATTCAAATTTCGGAAGAACGCCTTTTTTTAATGGTTACACTGACAAAATGCCTTTTTACTTCAAACTGCTGTGAATAGGAAAAAAAGCGCTTTATCAGCGTATGGCAGTATACTGCAGCACAGAACTCATGTTCAGGACTTCCACCTTTTTCAACACGGCGCTGACCTGAAGGACACACACTCACACAGTAGCCTACTGGATTAACAACAACACGACATTAAAAAAAAAACACCAAAAAAAATCAACACAAACTTTTCAAAGGTTAAAATCTGATTTCGTCAACAAGACAAGATTACAATTGATTTACATCCCCATTGAAAACATTGAAAAAATTAAGGAAAAATTAAATAATAATAACAACTGTATTTATATAGTACATAACCATTGTCTCCAGCATGATCTAGGCACTTTACAACGATAAGTATACAACGCTTCCACCCGACTTGTCAAGTATAGCCCAGGCCATGTTGGATGCTATATCTTAAAGGAGAAAAAAGTTGGAGACACTAGATAAAATACCTTCTCCATATATGGGAATTCAACTTTTATTCAACAAGCCAAGACCTGACCATTATACTGCAGGGTCTGCAACAACAAACGTGGTTAAAAGTCATATCTCGCCCAACAACTAAATGACCGGCCAAGACTTGAAACTCAAACAATTTTTGGATGCAATAGAAAACAGTTGGTATAGCATATCTATCCCTATCCATACGCCCTGGGGTCATTTTGTACCCCTACGGTTGTATTCTTCACATTTTAGAATACTTCTAGGGAGAAGATCTCTTTGAAACTTTCAGTATTTCTCAAAAAATCATTTTGACAGACTGCTATGAAAAAGTGTACGGATCGGATTAACGAAAAAATTTCCTCTCTGGAAAGTGATGGCACAGAGTTCCCCATGTCGTATGGATACAATAGTAAAACACGACGTACCGATAGGGTTAAGAAAATGACTGATTATGAAATTGTTCCGTGTTTGTCCACATAATGTTCTCGACATCTGTTTCCATTTTATGCTTTCACAGATATTTATATCACTTTAGTCGACAACTTCAACGGTCTTTGAATCACACAGAACATACCTGTACAAGTTGAAGTTAACAAAGGCCCTGTGGAAAGACAAATACATAGCATTTACATTCAGCACAAAAACAAAAATAAAGACCCAGACCTCGTAATACAAAACAAAAATTCATTCAGTTAAAAGAGGAATAAAAAGCACAATAAGCTCAGAGGCTGATAAAGAGCAACTCACTCCATTTTCATCTTATCCCAAGTTTGAAACTTTTTTTGTAGCTCAAAGTTTGTTTTGTTTGTAAGAGTAAAGAGAAGCACATTGACACAATGGCCATTTAGTGCTGGGGAAAAGCAAGACAGACAGACAGAGGCAGCCAGTGGCGCCCTCCAACCACCCACTTTGCTCAAAGTCTTCACGGAAGTAGTGGACATATGTGGCCAACAGCACAATGAACAAATCGCTAGAGGTAGACAAAAACAAGTCTTGTCAAAGCAAATGCCATACCATGGTAGCTGCAGTATAGTCTTTGTTGAACTTTAGTTTTTAGTTTTAGTACAAGTTTTATGGCACTTGCAACACAATAAGATCATATAAGTGCCAAAGATTAGAGGTGTTACAAGAGAGTAACAAACACAAAAAAGAAGGAGGAGAGATCAGGACGATAGATGTTTGATACCACTCACTTGTTGAACTTAATGCTCTGCACAACAGATCAAAGTTTATCAGAAGAGAACATAGTCTCAAGGTATACTGTAAGAATTTCTACATAGCATAAGATCCATACTTCAATGTAACACAAAACACACAACACGAGATCTACATTTTTTATATAATTGCAATAAAGATACAGGATGCACAATGACTGTTGTTCATGCTCTTTGTATATTTGAGTGAACAAAAAATAATCCTTGAATTTAATATTCTATGAGAAATCAACACATGTTTGTATTTGAGCAGGGCAAAACAGATGGTAACTTCCGAGGAAGAAAGCGAACAATTCTAACAAACTAAAGGTCACAAGTGATTTAACAACCCGTTGAAACATGTCAGAAAAATCCGCCTCACACAGAAACCATTCGCAGAGATCAAACACTCTCGCCACCAACCAGTTCCTGCAGTTTACAACAACACAAAAAAGGGAGAAAAAAATCAAACAAAGTACGCACCATGAGACTTTGCTTGTCCACCAGCCTACGTTCAGAACTTCATACAGCAATGTCATTGAGGGCTGCGAAAAAAAAAAAAGTTCCTACTTAGAAATCAGACGTTCCATTTGAAAAAGAAACACCTATTTAGTAATGCAGAAGTTGACAAGAAAAAAACGCAAGCTTCTTAACAATTAGACCATCAACACTAATACAATAATTGAGTAGTCCACATGAAAAAATGAACGATTCTAAGTAACCAGGAAGTCACCTTGAAAATAGCATACGCTTCTTAGTAATCAGGAAGTCACCTTGAAAATAATGTATGCTTCTTAGTAATCAGGAAGTCACCTTGAAAATATCATATGCTTCTTAGTAATCAAGAAGTCACCTTGAAAATAACATATGCTTCTTAGTAATCAGGAAGTCACCTTGAAAATAACATATGCTTCTTAGTAATCAGGAAGTCACCTTGAAAATAACATATGCTTCTTAGTAATCAGGAAGTCACCTTGAAAATAATGTATGCTTCTTAGTAATCAAGGAGTCACCTTGAAAATAACATATGCTTCTTAGTAATCAAGGAGTCACCTTGAAAATAACATATGCTTCTTAGTAATAAGGAAGTCACCTTGAAAATAACATATGCTATTTAGTAATCAAGGAGTCACCTTGAAAATAACGTATGCTTCTGAGTAATAAGGAAGTCATGAAAAAAACATACGCTTTTTATCGATCAGGCAACAATCAGGAGAACAATTCCCACGACAAGAAAACTGACCATTCAAAATATTCTATCCATCAGGCTGACACATAACGACTGAAAAATGTAAGTTCATGAGCCACTTAGGCCTATATATAGTACAGAGCCTGTACTTTCATCTATCTTAACCAGTGTTTGAAGAGTACAAAAGAAAAAAAGGATCAAAATAGTGGTTTCCCAGTTAGAGAATATCAAATCTGAGTGTTCCAAACACACTGGGCTGTCATCGTGTTTCAATAAAGCCATCTCTTAAACAAAGAATGTTTGGTAATTTTGGACCCAGCCCATTGCTTGCTTCAACTTTTCAAGAGTAACCCAAGGAGCCTGGAGCTCTCGCAAAATGCAATAATTCAGTATCTTCAGCTCAGTGACTGTCATTGTTTTTCTAGAGGCACAGATGTGGAAGTTTGCAGATTATAAGCAATAAGAATAATTTGGATATTAGATATTTTTTATGCTACTTTTCCTCTTCAAAAACAAAATCCCAAACTTACAATTTGGAAGCTCTTAAAGCCAGCGCTGACCGTGTCGTCAGTTTTCACACATGCGGCCTGGAAGTCGTACTGGACAGTCCTGAGAAGGGGAGAGGCGGAAAGTTAAGAAAAAAACAACTATCAGAAGAGGGCATAGTCTCAAAGTGTGGAGTTGGGATCTCTAGACAGCATTAGATCCACGCATCATTGTAACATACAACACATCCAACACAAGATAGAAGCTTTAATGTAATAAGATAAAACATATAAATCAATAGAGGTTTCACAAAGTAGAAATGCAGAAGCCAAGACAGAAGCCCCAAGGTTGTGTACATCCACAAGGGGAGATGAACAGTTTAAATGTTTAAAAATGTGGCAAACTGTCCTCTGCCAGAATTCGTCTCACTGGCCATAGCAAAAGCCACAAGTCATCTTAATCCTTATTTCTTCTATTTCTCTTTAACAAATATTCTCCTCTGAAGATGCACTGGTTACCTTCAGACACTGACATACAAACTATTACCATCATAGAAATGAAAGGAAACACACTGAATACTGGCTCTGCTCTCTGTATATTTCATTGAAAAAAACAACAACTTTAAATCTAATACCCCAAGAGAACTGTAAGCGATGCTAACCAGAAAAGTTCGAGACAGTACAGCAATGAGCAGGCAATGGTCCTGATAGCCCTGTGTGTTACAGAGACAGTACAGCAATGAGCAGGCAATGGTCTTGATAGCCCTGTGTGTTACAGAGACAGTACAGCAATGAGCAGGCAATGGTCTTGATAGCCCGGTGTGTTACAGAGACAGTACAGCAATGAGCAGGCAATGGTCCTGATAGCCCGGTGTGTTACAGAGACAGTACAGCAATGAGCAGGCAATGGTCCTGATAGCCCGGTGTGTTACAGAGACAGTACAGCAATGAGCAGGCAATGGTCCTGATAGCCCGGTGTGTCACAAAAGGGCAAGGTTCTTTGTTTTAGTTTTAGTAGAGGTTTTACGGCGCTCGCAACTGCATAAGGTTAGTTTTAGTAGAGATTTTACGGCGCTCGCAACTGCATAAGGTTAGTTTTAGTAGAGATTTTACGGCGCTTGCAACTGCATAAGGTTAGTTTTAGTAGAGATTTTACGGTGCTCGCAACTGCATAAGGTTAGTTTTAGTAGAGGTTTTACGGCGCTCGCAACTGCATAAGGTCATATAAGCGCCAGAAGATTAGAGGTGTTGCAAGAGAGTAACAAACATAAAAAAGAAGAAGGGGAGATAAGGAGATATTTGATAGGAAAGAAGGGGCAAACCACACCAGAGCACCCGCCAACCACCCACAGGCAGGTTTCTAAAGCTTCTGATAGCCCTGTGTGTTACAGAGGCAGAACAGTAATGAGCAGGCAATGGTCCTGATATCCCTGTCTGTTACAAAAAGGGCAGATTTCTAATGCTCCTTATAGCCTGAATGTTACTAAAGGGGCAGGTTCCTAATGGTTCTAATACCCCTGTGTGTTACAAAGACAGCATAACTATGAGCAGGCAATGGTCCTGATAGCCCTGTGTGTTACAAAAGGAGCAGGTTTCTAGACTGAGGAGAAAACATGACTTACTGGAGGAAGTAACCCTCATTCAGCAATTTGCCCATCACCGTCGGGTCAACTTGGCCCAGGAAACGGCCAATCTGAGGAATCAAGCGGCGAAAATGTAATGAATCAATCGGTGAAAATGTCATGAATACTTTTGTTGTACATTTGTCTGATGGAGAATCAGTAAAACCACCAACCTCTCTCTCTCTCTACAACAAACCTGCGGCTTCATTCACCTCTCTCTCTCTACCCCCCTCTCTCTCCAACAAACCAGCTGCTTCGTCCACCTCTCTCTCTCTCTCTCTCTTCCTCTACCTCTCTCTCTCTCTCTTCAACACACCTGCTGCTGAGCATCGTCCTGATTGGAGGCTACCACAAACCCCCCCGTCGTCCACCAGGTAACAGTAGAGCGACTCCACATCATCGCAGCTCAGCAGTTTGGTGGTGTCCAGACCCGCCTTGCCCATCCCGTCTCGCACCAGGTCAAACAATTTGTCGTGGCTCAGACGGGCACCAACAACTGCAAGCAGGAGGGGTGGGGGGTGGGGGGAGGGTTAATTTTAGTTTTTCATTTCGTTTTGGTAAGAGTTCTACAGCACTTGTGGCAAAGATGAAAGGTGTTACGAGGGTAAACAAAAGGAGGAGAGATAAGGACGATACATCTCTGAAGAGCAAATAAAATTAGGAACGCTTTGTTCAATTACAGCAACAGCAACAACAACAAAAACAACAACAACAACAACAACAACACCACCACTACCTCGCAACACAAGCTTCCATCATAAATAACACACTTCATACTACAAATACACGTGTCCTATTCCTTACCCACAGGCTTGTCAATGACCAGGTCCTGGCCAGATATTTTCTTCTTGATGGAGATCCCACAGGCCATGGTGATCTGAGCGCTGTCTGAAGTGTTGGGCCGTTTGGCTGTTGTACAAAAAAATAAAATTGAGTACCGAGTACAACGTCAGCAAATTGTAGAAATACAGTAAGCCTAGAATGGAACATTTTACAGGAGAGATTCAAAAACCTATATAATTCTTTTAGCAAGTGTACCTGCATTGCATTTTTTTTTTTTTTGCTTTTTTTTTTCTTCAGCATTTAGAATTGGTCGCTTATAGGCACAAGGGGGCTATCCAGAAAAATGCTGTTTTGAGGAAATCAAAGGTAAAGTTTTTGGATCCTTGTCCAGTTTCTTTAAAAGACGAGGAGAGTTTTCTCTATAATCAAACAAATATACACACCAATGAAACCAAACTTCTCCTATAGGTAGAGCAATGCCCATTTTTATTGTAGATCAAGATTTCTGGAAACCCCAGAAATTTGGGTTAGCCTGCTTGTCCTTAAATTTTGACAAAATACTTGTAGAACACATGTAGAACACATGCAGAACACATGTAGAACACATGCAGAACACAGGTAGAACACAGGTAGAACACATGTAGAACACATGTAGAACACATGTAGAACACATGTAGAACACAAGTAGAACACATGTAGAACACATGTAGAACACATGTAGAACACATGCAGCCGATACCACAAATTAAGAAACTGTAATCAGGAAAATTTTTCTACATTTTGGACGTCAAGCATTATAACGGCCGGCCAACAATAACATACCTTCGCTATAGTCTGCCATATAGATGCACGACGGAGAATGAAGAGCTCGCTTGTACAGGGAGGATTCACGAGGGTCGCGCATCGACTCAAAAAACTTGGCCTCACTGTCATTTAAAAAGACCAGGAAAAAAGAAAAAAAAAAGGAATTTAAGAAGAAATTAATTGAGAATCACAAGTTCAGGAAAGAGTAATTTGACACGCTTTCCCTATAATTAATGGACAAGATGAAGAACTTTTAATTTGTCAGGAGTAGTTGTAAAATGTTTGAAAACATTACATAACTTTCTACAGCAAGTCATTTGAAAAGTTCTTAACACTATTTAGCACGATTAACAGTCAAATATAGAAAAAACGCTCTGAAAGCTATCTAAAACTATCTAAAAACTGACCTGACATGAGACGTAAACTAATAAATTGTGAAGTTCACATCCTTTTACCCAGAGCTAAAGAACAAAGTAAAATTGAAAAACAATAAATCTGTTCAACCTTTCGGGACTTTGTTTTAATAAGAGTTTTACGGCACTTGCAACACAATAACGTCATATAAGTGCAGAAGATTGGAGGCGTTACAAGAGAGTAACAAACACAAAAAAAGAAGGAGGGGAGATGAGGACGATAGATGTTTGATAGGAAAGAAGGAGCAAACCACACCAGAGCACCCGCCAACCACCCACCTTTTGGGACTGACAACCGTCATCCCTCCATTGGTCATGATGAAATAAGTTATCTTCTGACTCCGCCTGAAAAAAAGAAAAAAATAATGTCCGAAAATCTCGTACACTGAACCTTTGTTTAAGAATACTTTATTCTTATGTATTAAATTTTTTAAATTACACTAAAAAATAAAATATCTTTACAAGATCTTTTATTTGAAATTATATACAAGGGGTAATCAGATATATATATAATATTTCAGAGAAGCACCACAGCGACCTCTTTATTCTATTTTAAATATGTACTAGGGATCATTACATGTTACTTCAAACAAGCACCTGAGCAATTTTAATTCTATTTCAAACATTTGTATACCAGCAAGAATCTACACAAGAAGAAAAATGAAAAACTCTGTTGATGTCTTCAATACACACAAATCAAAGATGCTTGTGTATTAAAGACTTTTTCCTTCCACACAGTAACTATGACTATGACATGAGTAATTATACCTTTATCATTGTGTCATACACAGACAGAATCAGAGCTGATAACACAGATTCAGCTAGCACCTTAACAGCTTTAATTTCTCTAGCCTTAACAAAACAAACTGGATGCAATATTTCAGAAATGTAAGGTTTTTGTGTAGGTTTAGAAAGTTTAACAGCTCTTGCAACACAAATATGAAATATCGTATTAGCGCCAAAAATGAGTACAGGTATTACAAGAGAGTAACATACAAAGAAAAGTAGGTGAGATAAGGACGACAGATGGTTGATAGGAAAGAAGGAAATGTAAGGTGCAGCTATCAAACTAAAAATTATGATAAAAACATTAAGGCAAGTTATTAAGTGTAGTTGATACTGTTCATTCAGGGAGTTATTTAGATTCCTCTGAGAGAAAGATTTCTGCTTTAAAGGGCCGTCAAAAATGCACTCAGATTCTATGGTATCCAGAAATGATAAACTCAAGCTTGACTGGGATTGAGACGAATCATTCATGCAGTCTGCAATCAGTCATTCCTCCCCATTCAGAACCCCTTATCGTTTTAGTTTTAGTAAGAGTTTTACGGCACTTGCAACACAATAAGGTCATATAAGTAAGTGCCCTGGGAAAAGCTCTGTTCACACCCCCTCCTTACTCCTTACCTTCCATCTGTCGCGACATTGGCGTAAAAGAAACATGCCATGCCATGTGTTATCCTATTACCCCTTAACAATCACATGCTCTTTTTATTAGTTTTAGTAAGAGTTTTACTGCATTTGCAACACAATACGGTAATATGAGTGCTGAAGATTAGAGGTGTTACAAGAGTGTAACAAACACAAAAAAGAAGGACGGAAGATAGAAACGATCGATTTTTGATAGGAAAGAAGAAGCAAACCACACCAGAACACCCGCCAACCAACCACACATGCTCTATTGGACTCTCGCCCCGCGGGTGCAGAAAAACTAAGAAAAGCAGCATGTTGAAAAAGTGAAGATGTTTCCTTGCCCAAACTATAGTACAATTTGGGTGAATTGCCACTCCCAAAGGTTGTTTGTTCGAACCATGCACCAGATACCTTTCCCAGAGGTGAAATGAATAAATAACAGAGTTCTTTATAACAGGCTTAGTATATATATATATATATATATATGTATGTAGAACAAAAACATATCCTTAAGTGTTGTGTGCATGCTGCTGCAGTGGGAAATTCAATAAGTACCGCTGAGCAAAGGAATAACTGTCTTTATTTAAAAACAAAACTTTTTATTCATTAGTGTCTGTTTGTTTCGTTAAACTGGGGTTAAAAAACCACCACCTTATTTTTTAAAGTACGAAATCTGTAGCAATCAGAACAATACCATTATCAAAAAGAACAAGCAGCAGCAGACCGCACCAAAGCCCTAACCAAGCACCCAGAGAGTTTTAACAGTTAATTCAACAAACGAGTACCAGAATTTTTAAAAATTAGAGTAACTGTTCCATGATCCAGAGCTCCAACTCTGGTCCGATGGTCCTTCATTAATAAACACTTGGCCGCATCATCTCGCCGATTGGCGATGTTTACCACTCAGTTTCTTTGGATTTTCCCCAAAAATTTTATGGTAAAGTATTAACCACTTCAATGCCTTATTGGACGTACACAATTTTCGACATCTTGACGTATCAGGGAATGGAAAACATGTCCTATCAAAAGGGTTAAAAACGAGTTGGGCATGAGTGAGACTCTTTGTATGTTGAAAGACCAGCAGATTCTTTCAACAAAGATAATAATCTGCTATCATTCAATGCTGAAGGCTGTCTATGTGAAACCATGCGTCAAAACCCATCACCACGGATGCAAAAAAAGAAAATGCAAAGACAGGTCGGAGAGTTTAGTTTTAGTACGAGTTTTATGGCACTTGCCACACAGATAGGTCATTTCATCGTCAAAGGTTAGAGGTGTAACTCAATAGTTATACTTTAGCACAGACGGAAAGATGAGAATGATATATGTTTAATCTAATAGGAAAGAAAGAGCAAACCACACCAGAGCACCAGCTAACCACCTATGTGATCAGCAAACAAACTCGAAATCTTGACCTAATTTGGGTTAGTTCTAACCATGCTCTTATTATTTCAATAAACCGTACAATCCCTCATGCTTCATAAACCTCCACCAGCAGCAGTGAAAAGAAAAGCAACTCTTACTCATCATCATCATCAAGGGGAGAGAACACGCCAGTGTCCGACGCGTTTGTGCTATTATTTCTGCAGAAGCAAAATGGCATGAGCTGGGTGAGAAAGTCGTGTCTTGTCCCATTACTCGGCCCGGATTGAACCCATTTCATTCCCTCACATTCCTCTCATTTTAGCTTTTGTAAGTGTTTTACGGCACTTGCAACACAATAAGGTCATATAAGTGTCGAAGATTAGAGGTGTTACAAGAGAGTAACAAACACAAAAAAGAAGGAGGAGAGATAGTTCAGTTTTAGTAAGAGTTTTACGGCACTTGCAACACAATAAGGTCACATAAGTGCTGAAGACTAGAGGAGTTACAAGAGAGTAACAAACACAAAAAAGAAGCAGAGATAAAGATGATAGATGTTTGATAGGAAAAAAAGAAGCAAACCACACCAGAGCACCCGTCATACACCCACACATTCCTCTCAATAACTACAGCATGTCAGAAACAATTTCCTGAACAGGACAAGTAAAGTTCCATATCGTATATTCTAATGTGAGCCGCCGAGGTTACTACCCTGGTGAAACAGCCTATCCATTGACGGTGGTCAATACAAGATAAAAGCTGTCAACTTTCAGACTCAGGTCCACCGATTCCAGCTCCTTATCAACGGCATGGCTTGGTAAATTTACTTACTTACTCTCTCCCTATACTGTCAGGTATATAAGACGGAGAGAAGTCGACGCTACGCTTATCTGTCCTGAGCCCCTTTGGACTCCAGGAAATGTTTAGAATTAGGAAACCTATTTTGACAGCAACTGAAACTTGGAAACATATACTAGGTTCACGATAAGGAGCTATAAGACAAAACTCACAACTGAAATCTAGAGTACGTAGGCCTAAAAGACCTCAAAAGCATACATGGTTTATAAATCCTACCCCTAACTCAATTCTTCGTAAAACTAACAGAGTATTTTTGGCCGTATTGTAAATCTGTTTACAGCAAGATTGACCAACAGACCTACAGACATGTCCTGACAACAGAACATGTCCTGACCAACAGAACACGACCTCTTTGCTTTCTTGTCATATCTCCATTCTTATAAACAATGAAAATGTGACTTCTTCTTCAGCTCACTCTTTGTTATGAACTGTTTTCACTGTTATTAAAAATGGAGATCTGACAAGAAAGCACTGGTGTCACGAGAACGCGTCCAACCAACAGAACGTGTCCTGACAACAGAACATGTCCTGACCGACAGATTGTGTCCTAGAACGGCTCCTGTCCAACAGAAAGTGTCATGTGTCCTGACCAACAGAACGTGTACAGCAAGATAGACTCAAAACGTGTCCTGCAAGAACGTGTCGTGTCCCTTACATGTTGTTCCTGAGGAAGGTGATGAGCCCTGACTCCAGGATGTGGGTGTCCCAGTACAGGTGGTACAGCAGGTCCAGGTTCCCTGAGAGGGGGAGGGGGAAGGGGGGATGAGTCATTTTTCATTTTTTCATTTTTATTTCTTTTGCATAGGAGTTTTGCTGCACTTGAAACACAATAAGGTCATATAAGTGCCAAAGATCAGAGGTGTTACAAGGGAGTAACAAACACCAAAAAGAAGGAGGGGAGATAAGGACAATAGATGTTTAAACTTTGACAACATACCAAACAACACAAGATGGCTCTTGATCAGATTTCCCACAGACCTGGATCCCATTTTGCACATATAGATGAATTTAGTGGACGTACAATACTCTATGAGATTTACGTGTACATCTGGGATAATAAAGTATTATCTTATCTTGTCACATCTAATCGTATCTAGTACCCAGTACACGATTTCTAGGTCTAGATCATATCACAGACACAAGCTAAGCATAACAATTCAAATCAAAGTCCAGGAACAACAACAGCAAAATATTTATCCAGAAACCCAAATTGACCTTTTTGTCCTTCTAAAATTAATTAAAAACGTAACTTTTGACTGAAACACAATCATTCAACTGCACTTGCAAAGAAGAAAAACAGAGCAACCTGACTGCACTACAAAAAACACACAAAAGAAAAACAACAGCAGCTTTTCATAGGGTTCAATTCATCATTTGATCTCAGTTTAAGTAAGTTAAAAAGAGAACAGTTACAAATACAAATAAATAGCAAATCGGAAAACAGTTTGGGTTCAAGTGTTTCTAATATCCATATAATCCGTCTATTGAGAGCAAAGCTTCTTACAGTGGTCAGGGTTTGGGTCATTGCTGAGCCAAGTTTGAAGATCGTCCATCGTCTGTTTCTCTGGATGTGTTGCATTTTTGTAGTAGTTCCTGATACGGGAATAAAGAAGAGAATCAGGAATCAACGACTCTACTTTTCTGGGTCAATCTTTTAAAAACCTTATCGAATCTACCGGGTGCATCACGGAACTGCAAAACGTTCCAGAATCAGGAATCAGTGACTCTACTTTTCTAGGTCAATCTCTTCAAAACCGTATAGACATCCACCTGGTGCAATTATAGAACTGCACAATGTTCCACATTTCAGTGTAGCAGAGAAGGCAAAAAGGCATTGCACTGAGAGTTACGAAGCGTGAGTACGTAAAACTCACACGTGACAGTGGAGGACGTACAGAATAATGTAACAGAAACAAAACTGTCTCCGTGTGTCCCTTGTAGAGAGGACAACACCAGCTACACCCTCTCAACTCCCTTATATTTCCCTATAATGTGGGACAAATATAATGCTGCAACTCATCTTTTACACATATACACCTTAAAAACTTGCTAGGTGCATTCTGCAGTATAAAAAATATGGGGGGGGGGGGGCAGCGGTGGCGGTACTAGTAATCTAGCATCCCAATTATCCTCATTTTTCTTGTTTTCGTAAACACAAAAACAATCAAAATAAACTAAATAAAAAATGAAGAGTTTTGAGAAAGCCAAAATGATCTTCTTCAGTATCAGACAACCTTGGACGAGATTAGAACTTAACAAACATTATTTCAAAGTTCCATCAATTCCTTCTCACAAGTTCCAAAGCATGGCAAACTGCCATTCCACAACTTACCAGGGGGCAACCAAAATGCTGTAGAAATCAGATTCCAGATTCTTCCATCCTGAAAGAAAAAGCAGAATACAAGGCAGTGAATTTCAGAGCATTCGGTTCATGTTGTCGTTATCGATCCAGAGCATTCGGTTCACACAAAAGAGGCTTCACATATTTATCTCTGACAATGAACATAGTCCATACAAAACCGGTGTACCTAAAGGCCTAGCCTGGATCTGTGCAGCAATAGTCTTCCCATATCATTTACATCCTTAAAAGCCTGTTCTAAAAATATACATCCACCGACAAACACACTGAGCTGAGGGCAATAAACTTTCCTCAGCATCCTCCTTTACCCTACTGTGCACATGTTGAGAGGCTCTCCTCAAGACCTGACCAATAAATACACAGTAGTGTTACCAAGTTTAATAAAAACCCAGTTAGGGGGGGGGGGGGAGGAGGGAAGGCATGTAATGACAAAAAAGGTTTATTGTGTAATAGAAGAAAAGTGATTTTCTTACGGCAGTTAAAGATATGAAAAACGTATTACAAACACAAAAGAGGATTTCTTAAGGCAGGTGTGGACATGAAAAACATTGCAATAAAGACAAAAAAGAGAATTACTTAAGGCAGGTATGGATCCCTCAAATTTTGGGTACATCTTTTGATAGAGAGGAACGCTGATGCCCAATCTGAGAAGAAAAAACATAAGGCAAACATCAGATTTGAATACATTCCTACTTTGCAGATGGTATTAACTCATTCGCTAAGCCGAGCCGTGGGGGGCGGCACGGCTAAAGTGTCGTCAGTACGCTAAGCCACCCCCCGCGGCTCGAGAATCGACGTTCAATTTTAGCTTGGTTTCTATTCCAATCCACATATCCATGTTAAAATAAAGGTCACAATATAAAGTTGACTTCCGGGTCAAGCGTTTCCACCTAAAATCGGAAGTTTTGATTCAGTTTTGAAACACGATTTCGAAGTTTATGCGAAGCCCAAATTATAGCCCAGACACCAGTCTTAGTACTTTTACACAACAAAATGTATCATTATTTTGCTCACTAAAGAAGTGTAGGACTCTTCTTTATAATATTGATACTACTGGACTCAAATTGCCAGTGCACTGTAATTGAGAAATCAATATTTTTGAGTGCGGGATCTATATATCTAGATCTAAGCCTAGATCTAAATAGTCAAAATATTTTTTTCCGCCCCAAAATCACTACTTTTTGGTGAATTTACTCAAAAAGTACCACCCAAGACATGTATAGGTTTATTGCAAATGCAATTCAGAATAATTCCATATAAGATACGAGTGTTTTTTTCTGTTTGGGATCCTTCTTTTTCAAAATTATTTTAAATTTTTTTTTTTTTTCCAATATCTGAGGTTATGATCCAAATGTACAAATATTATGGAATGTATGTAAATAACTGCTCATTTTTCAATATTTTCCTGTTCTATATACAGTTATGGTTATTTTGAAGTATAATTTGACTAGGTGCAAACATATTTTTTGAGTTTCAGCTGAGATTATAAATTTTTTGTTTTCAAATTTTATCCGCAGCCAATCACAATTGTGTTGCATAATCGCCTCTTACAGGAACCAAAGTTTAAAAATACTCAAATAAACGATACAGATGTACTCTACAAACCATACTGAAAATGTTGGTATATAATATGTTGATATTTATTTGAATTTATGGCCCCCAAGACCTGTGAACTGCGCACTAGTCATCATCTCATTTCGCCCTCCCGAAAAAAATTCTTCCACAAGCCGAAAATAATACGTAGCGAATGAGTTAATGAGAAGAAAAATTAATTAACAAAAAAGAAAAATTGCCACGTTACTTGTTTTTTTGTCAAATATTGTGTTGAAATAGCATCATCATTCTTAGGAATTACCACAGGGCAACTTCTAAATAGGTCGGCAGCACTTTTATTTCTGCCATGGACAGATGCAATGGCACTGGTAGACGGCAAACATGAGAACAAAGCCAATGGCCAAAAAAATGCCCATATTTGGAGATGGAGACTGCTTTCTCAAATGAACTTATCTCCAAAGACCTATTTTCTTCTACAGTGCATTATGTTTGAAGGCACTCATTGACAGTTCGAAATGGGCTTCAATTTAAATAAAGTAAAAAAAAGTTTCAATCAATCTCAACACTTCAGAGACTCAACATGATGACAAAAAACATGTCACCTTACAACGAAATAAAGACAACAGTCTTTGCAGAAGATGTACTGCAGCACTTATAATAATAATGATAATTCACATGTATACAGCTTATATCCCTATAAAAAGATGGCTGGACACACTTTACAATTAATCATTATCCTGACCTTACCCTTCAATGTTTTAAAACATTCTCAGCTTCTTGAGAAACATTTGTTTTTGTAAATGTTCATTCAAAAAGCCCTAAAGATGAAAAAAGGTTTTTTTCTCTTTAATAAGAGTTTGTTTTGTTTTAGTAGAGGTTTTACAGTGCTCACAACACAATAAGGTCATATAAGTGCTAAAGAATAGAAGTGTTACAAGAGAGTAACATACATAAAAAAGAAGGAGGGGAGATAAGGACGGTAAATGTTTGATAGGACAGAAGAAGAAAAACCACACCAGTGCACCCATCAACCACCCACAAAAGGAGTTTAATATCTCCAACCAAAATTGCAGCATGCATAACAGCAGAATTGTTGTAAAACTGAAACAAAAAAGATCAATGTATATTTCTCACCTGAAGGTTGTGTTTTCGATCGGCGTGAAGGCGTAGCGAGCCTGGCTCTCAGTCACATATCTCTGCAAGGCACAAGAGAACGGATTTTTATATTTTTTTAAAGTAGAGGTTTTATGGCACTCGCAACTGCATAAGGTCATATGAGCGCCAGAAGATTAGAGGTGTTACAAGAGAGTAACAAACATAAAAAAGGAGGAGGGGAGATAAGGATGATAGACGTTCGATAGAAAAGAAGGAGCAAACCACACCTGAGCACCCACCAACCACCCACAGAGAACAGATATTTTCAACTATCTTTCACAATATGCAAAAAAATGACTTACTTCTTTTCTGTGACAAGAACAACAAATTAAAGCAGTCAAAATTCTGCAACGGCCACTAATCCTAGATAATCGCCTTCAAAACTAACCACATCATGTCCAGTTTTTTAAAAAATTTTGGTACGTACGAGTTTTACGGTACTTGCAACACAATAAGGTCATATAAGTGCCGAAGATTAGAGGCGTTACAAGAGAGTAACTAACATAAAAAAGGAGGAGGGGAGATAAAGACAATAGATGTTTGATAGGAAAAAAGGAGCAAACAAGAAGCAAACCACACCAGAGCACCCTCCAACCACCCACTCCCCACCCGGTCTCAGTCTGTCACTTACTTGGTCAGGAGATAAGAACAAGGTGGTGATCACTTTCTTGCCTCGATTGCCTTCTATCATGCTGTTCCGTAACTGTAGAAATGGAAAATACAAGTCAGCAAACAGTGACTATCAAAGGTAATAGGAGCAAGTTAAGACGTATCTTCTCTAAATTTCTCCTTCTTTCTGTCCCCTTTCTTCTCACACTATTTTTCCTACTTCCCATGATGTGAAATTACAATTCTTTAGTAAATAAAAAGCTAAATATTTCAGCGTTTGTGTACACCTTACATAATTAATTTATTGCATTATCTTTGTTTTCGTAAAGAAATTAGTTATCTTCCTACGATGATATACATACCGAATTTATCGCATCATCCTTGTCTTCATAAAGAACTTAGTTATCTTCCTACGACGATATACATACCGAATTTATCACATCATCCTTGTCTTCATAAAGAACATAGTTATCTTCCTACAACGATATACATACCGAATTTATCGCATCATCCTTGTCTTCATAAAGAACTTAGTTATCTTCCCTCAATAAGGTACATACCGAATTAATCGCATCATCCTTGTCTTCCCTGTGAACCTCCAACTCCATGATGTCCACATTGGGCGGTTCTTTCATGAAGGTGCCCTGCACAGATAAAGGAACAACATCACACAATTTCCGACATTCAAAAGACATCGTCAGCACCATTCTACTGTCATCCAGATCAAATTCAGATATGGCAAGCAAGTCATTCGAATAAAGACATCAAGTAGCATCTTACAATAAAGATAGATACACTGCAAAAGAGTACTTACAAAAACATAACGATCAGGAAATATTTTCCTCAATGTAACATTCATGGCAGCTTTACATACCAGAGCTCCGATAGGGCAAGAAATAAAAAATCTTGAACTTTTGTAAACAAATTTAACTTTAAACATAACGTTACTTGAAATTCATAAAAACATGATATTTTAAACATTGATAACAGAGACCGTTTCTGATGCTTTCATTCTTGTAGAAACCATGTAGATTATGTGCATTTATTTCTAAGCTTGATGAGCTGACCAATTGTTGAACTCACCCCTGTCTTCAGGTTAGGATGAAACACCACATAGCCATTTGGGTTAATAGCAAATGTGTATCCGTTTGGCCCCATCTGGATGGAAAGGATACAATAAAAAATTAGTTAACAGTTTATAAATCATATTCATGTGACTAACTTTTCCCTTACTTTGAAAAAAGTTAAAACTGCAAGTTAAAAAAAAAACATCTGAAAATACACTTAAGTTTTGAACAATGATTAAAAGCACACAAAAAATGAAACAATTATTACAGTCAAAGTTTTTACAGAAACTGAGGAAATTGAATATAGATGGAAAAAAAGTCAATTTTATTTTATAAAATGAAGTCCTGTCTCTGACAATTCAATCAGGAAACCTCCTCTCCAAACACTTTCAATTCTTAGTTAAGAATTTTATCTTTCTTTTCTTTTCTCTCTAGAAAGACCCTCAGCGACATTTTGGAGGGAGCAACGGAGCATCAAATGATATGTCCGGAATGCTGGGATGTTGCTTTCTGAAACAATGAACAAATTCTTTTCACTGCTTTCCAATAGTTGTACAGAATTGAGCAATAACACATTGAGAAATTCAAATTAAGTCAAATTTGACAAGGCCACAGACCTTAGAAAACGGCGACTTGGACTCCAGCTCAGCCGTGGTCACATCAACCCCCATTACTCCCAGGATGGTCTGGTTCGACTGCAAGTTCACACACAGCACAGGTATATTCACAAACAATTCACATATGTATATAATCACAAACAGTTCACGCAGCAGCTGTTATTTGACACAACACCAGCTTATACAGACTACAGGCTATCAAGAAATAAAGATGTACAAATTTTACAATGGGGGGGGTGGGTTGAAAACCGTTACCTATGTATAAATTTGACTATAACTTGAGATAACTGCTTTATCTCAAGAGGAAGGCAGATTCATCACGTCTCACTTCTATTTGCTTCTGCTTCTAGGTGACAAGTCATTCTGCTCATACTCTTAGGCCTTAATAAATATTTTGTCTACACACTAACATCTTGTCATTATCAAAAGAAATGTTGGAGTAAAGAGAAACACATCAACATCAGAAGTAGGCATATATATAGTGCAGGGAAGAAGCAAGATAGACAGACAGAAACAACTGACAGAAAGAAAAGAAGTAGGACCTCCCAGGGGTGCACTCCAACCAAATACAGGCATATCTTTAAAAAAAAAAAAAAGAAAAAAGAAAAAAAAAAGAAGAAAAAAGTCTTTCTCATAAAAGAAAAGAGAGTTCACGTACAGATCCCGCGCTGCGGTTGTAGACCGGCAAAGTCACTGTAGTCATCATGCCAAGCCCCTGGATTAGGAACAAAATTTTCATACAACTGTGAACGATGGAAGTTTACAAACAACATGGAGTGAAACTTGAAATCCACACAAAATAATATACACATGGAAAAATAGCACTCTAGCTTGATTATTGGAGAAAATTAATTTTAAGTTCAAGTACTTTTTTAATAAGGAAATCTGTTTCAAAACTATAAAACAAGGAATTCCAAATACTGCAATGAAATCTTTTCATGTTACAAATTATTCCTTTTACAATCATCAACAGCAAGAATTTCCACTACAATGGATGGTAAAACTGAATCTGTAACAATTTTACTGCTAAAAAAAGAAACCGTTATAAAAATCACCAACTGCAACAATAATAATTGTATTAATAAAAGTAAAAGCAACTTTAGTATTAGTAACAATAACGCTAAATCTTACCAAGTCCTGTACAGTAAAATATATTATAAAGAGATGTAAAATTGATAACTATTTAATTAAACATAAGATTTTAAAATTTCATAATCATAATCTTCTAAAAAGGTATCTACATAACTGTCCGTGCTAGGGTGATAAAAACATTGTGAGTCAGAAACTAAGGCAACTCTGCGGAGCAAAATGGCCATGCGCATGCAGCAAGCAAAAGATACAATAGATGAGGCCACTTGACGACAGGCACGCATGCACGCTAAAACACTACAGCGCTCACAAAAACACAGCAGTTTGAGTCACATAGAGGGAATATTTAACAGCTTGAGCATTCTAGAACTTGTAAATTTAACAGACAAAGTAAAGTAAACAGCAATTACAACTGTGTCGATGCAGAAACTGAGAAAACAAGTGACCAAACCTCTGGTATAGGTCACAATATATAGACCTAGATGGATAGCAGTTTGTAAAAAACACAAATTCTCTCTGCTCTCTAAAGCATCTTTAAAAAGGTTGCCAGTTTGTAAAAAACACATTTATTCTCTCTGTTATCAAAAACACTAGTAAAAAGTTTTCCACTATAAACTTTTCTAAGTCTCCCTGTCGTCATGGCTTTGACGCCTCCGTTGAATTACTTCTGTTTCAAGAACAGCACACTATCCTTTGCAACATTTTCAAAAATAGGAAACATTGCGTCCAATTAGAATTAGACACAAATCAAACTACTTTAATAAGTCTCAAACCAGGACAACAAGCTGTAAGGGAAATTGCTCTACCTTAGCAAAGAACATTCAGATTCCATTACACAATTCAAACAGAGCAACTCTGCGTGTTGGAGGAATTCCCTCAACTAACGGCACCTCAGCATCAAGCAGAGGGAAACGATGGCTTCACGTTTGCGCGACTGTCTCAAATTTTCCAACACTTATAGAATAAATACTTAACAAAAAAGTACTACCACAAATGATAATGATAGTTATAATAATAATAATAATAATAATAATAATAATATTAACCATAATCACAATAATAACAACTGATTGAATTTTGTATCCAATTTGACAGTAGGCCCTCTGCCTCTTACATTCTATTAATACCCTGAAGGATGATAATGTTTTATTGTAATAACCCAAAACATACTCAACTTCCTGAGAAACGTTAGAATAAATCAACCTTTTTTACAGGAGCTCAAACATACATGTTGTATATACTGCCTAGATCTCTCCATGTGTTAGCTGAGGATTCATTCTCCACTGGGTGAATTGACTTTGAGGAAAGTTTTGACAAAATGTCTTTCTTACGGGCTCAGTTTAGTTTTAATAAGAGCTTTATGGCACTTGCAACACAATAAGGTCATACAAAAGCCGAATTATGAGCTCAGGCAATTATCTGGACCCGCGGCCTCAGAGTAGCCCTGGGATTCCTCCACCGAACATGAGGCTTCTGCTGCCACCTTTGGCCTGATTGCATAATCCAGGTAGCAGCCGTCAAAGTTGCAACAACAGCCGAGACAAGATAATGACTGTGTGCTCTACAACACAAATGCTAGCATGGCAGTGCATTGAAAGAAATGTTTCATAAACCGATTCAAGGCTATCAGACAAGTATCAAAATCATCTTTAAAAGTCTTGCGATTTCTCTTTCTTTTTTTTTTTTAACACAGACATTACCAAAAAAACATAAATTCCTGTGAAAATGCAAAGTGTGTATAAACTGAAGCGATATTGGCGAAAGGGGACACAACTTTCCAATACAACGAAAGAGTTTGCAGGAATCAGCATTTGAACCAAAGATTATGAAGAAACAAATGTCAAGCAATACCACACTTCAAGCTGGGAACCTGAAAAAATAGGATTTTAGAATTGAGGTGTGCGTCGAGTGACATTTTGAGACATGGGCACACTCATAAACAGTGCTTACTCCATCGACACAAGCTGTTCCATCTTGGAAATAAAGGAAACCAAGTTCATTATGAGCTTGAAAAGATGGGGGGAACAGATGCATGTTATATGTTTTATGAAAAAAGAAGCATTGGTAACATGTATGTAGGATACACATACACATACATACTATATTTATGGATACCATATACTTGAAAACTTTTGGGAGAATACAAAACGAAAAGCAGGAAATATTCTTCAATACAAATGTAATTTGCGAACAAAAATTCAAACAAATAAAACCAAAATAAAAATAGAACACCTACAGCATGGTTAATTCGGAGAGGATAACATAAAATAAGCAGTTACGGTAAAGGACATGGTACATCTATAACACAAATAAAGTGATTCTCCACTATGACACCTAATTTGCTCGGCCTCCAGTAAATTTTGTCGACTCGCAGACTTGCACTTCAACATAAAGGTCGTCACCGGAACAAGAGAAAACTGACAAGGGAGGATTAAGACAACGGACTCGCAGGAGGAAACCGGTCCTACATCGCCACGAGAATGTCCATCACAACAGAAGGACAAGGCAATGAGAGAGAGACACAAAATCTGCCGCCAGTGTCGTATGTTCTCACCATCAGCAGCAGATGTTGAACTGGCACTAGACCACAGACGCTTGTATACACTATATTTCCCACTTACAAAACAGAACATCCTCTGTGAGCTAGACAGGGAACCTAACCCTTCCACCACAGACGCTAGTGTAGGTACAATGGTTTCCGTCTAAGAATCTGGTCATCGGGAGACAAAACAAAACCTTCGCAGGCCACAGCTCAACCCCTACTTAGTCCACCCCACCCTCACTCCCTTCTCCCCAACCTCACTTTCCACCCATTTCCTTCGCCTCCATTAAAAATGACGTCCTAGCAGTTACAGCAAAGTGTGATGAAGCACGCCGCTTTTACAAGTTTTTCCCTAATTCAAATGGGGTTCTCAGGAGAATTTTTTTTTTTTACAATGGATTCTAGGGCAGGTAAATTAGAGACAAAACATTCCTTTGCAGAGAAAAACAGGCTCTTTCACTGACCAGGTTCATAAATGCTGTGTTCTTAGACGGAGACCACTGTACACAGAACAGGAAACTGCCCAAACTTTACTTTTACTTTACTTTTCCGATCCAGCGGTCATTTGGGTTCTAGCTCTTCGGTCAGTCGATATGGCAAAGAAATTACAGGTTTTAATCAGCACAAACCAAATGACGCACTAGAGGATTTGCTAGCTTCCCTAGTCCCGAGTAAAAAAGAAAGAGATTACAAAGCTTATCTTTATTATAATATAAGTATATCATTGTTTAAGTACACACAAATATATACAAAGAGTGTTGGCCAATATTTACTTTACTGCAACAGCTGAGACACTGAAGAAAGAACGGACGACTAACAAAATACCCAACAAAGGAGATAATTTGTTGAAGCAAAAGGTGCAAGGGTAGTCACACGCCACGAGTGCTCTACAGCGAAGTACCAGGGACACAACACAGGGACGTCTACGGTTTCTTTTTGGTCACACCAAGCCATACACCTCACAACAACACAGCCGTGTTGAAGAATCTTTCTCTCTCATAAGTCAACTATTTGGAATGTGATCAAACTGACGTAGCACAAACAGCTAAAACAGATCGGCACCAATGAAACAGTTTAGCAGTGTATACATTCTGATGCCTGGGAATATATTCTGGGACATTGAATTATATTAACATCAATCTTTAAACGGAACAATAATATGTCCAATACTCCTAAATTTATGCCAGGAGCTCATTTCTTGATATCATTCTTCTTATTTTTCTACTAGCATTTATGTCAGGAACATTGCAAGGTTTACGATCTTTACCAAACAATGAGTCATTCACAGCATGTTACAAAGTCTTGATCCAACTCAAAGAATCAAGAACTTTCACAACAGAAGGACATACAGCTAATGAGCTATGGTCAAAACACCAGTGTCAATGACTGTGCACTGCATTCTAAACTACATAGACAAGTGTGACACGTCCAAAAATAAATTTTCCGACGCTCGACTAAGCACATAATGTCAGAGACGCTGAAACAAAGTGGGGGGGGGGCGGGTAGGCAGGAGACACAACAGTGACATGGACACGCAGCTACACATCATGTCCAACATCTCTCACACGCAACACCAACTGCTAGTTGCTAGCGATGTCCGCCCTATCTACTCTATGAGACATCGCAATCTAACAAACTGCGTCCAATAATTGCAATGTTCTCTTTCTTAATCTTTATTTGTTATATTTAATTTTGATGTGATGTTCTCCTTAGAATTCGGTTACCTTGGGGATATCTCTTACTACTTGCTTACTTTCTAACGTTGTTTAGCTTCAAATTTTCCAGTTCAAGCTCCGTCAACTTTTTAACGACATCTGTTGGCTGATTTCTTTGGTGACAACTTATCCTGGTACTACATTTCCTTCCACTAGCTGCTAGATTTTCATCTTCAATGATCATGATTATTTTTCTTAGAATGCATAGCAAACAATTTGCTCTATCAACATAATATTTACAGTTATTCTATCCTTTTGAAAAATTATGTTTCAGATATAAATATTATAAACATATCTTAACCTTCATTTCATACGATCTTTAAAAAGAAAATGTAAAACAGACAAGTATTGATCTAATTATTAACGTTTGAGAATCTACAACAGCCTACATGACGTCTGAAATAAATACAATGAATAAAAAGCAAAGTGACAATATCAATAGTCAATGACCAGCATGAGGCAAAATGTGCAAATACCAAAGTGTCCTCATAAATGTTGCCCCACTCAAAGGTTTTCTTGTTTTTGATGACCTGCGGCCGACTCAGGACAGGGATATACTCCTTGAAGTGAAGGGGAAGAGAACACACTACACATTGAAGACACACACGTGTAAGAAGACATTCCCATCCACCTCACTGAAGACACACACGTGTAAAGAGACATTCCCATCCACCACATTGAAGACACAAACATGTAAGGACACATTCCCATCCACCTTATGAAGCGGAAGAGAACACACTACACACTGAAGACACACACATGTAAGAACACATTCCCATCCACCTCATGAAGGGGAAGAGAACACACTACACATTGAAGACACAAACGTGTAAGAACACATTCCCATCCACCTGGTTGGCACGGACAAACACAGGAGGCAGAACCTTCAATACATTCATACACAAGGAAGAAACACCCCTTAAACACCGACTTCTGAAAGAATCAACAAAAATAAAACACACACATAGTGCATACTTTCTTCCCGCCACCAAATGGGATTCAGCAACACATCGTCCTTTTAACCACAAAAAAACCTATATACAACATGAAGGAAAAAAATTAGTTCCAGTCATGAGCCCTCTGCCTCTGACACCAAACAGTCCCCTGCCATTGCTGAAAATGAATCAAACAAGTGAGTTATAACTGTCTACGTCCTTTGTCCTCAGTTCCTCTAGCTAGGGAAAAAATGGCCAATGCACCTTCCAGACACACAGTGACAGACTGTAAGCTGCTACGGTCACTGCAATAGGTCAGTCCCACAGGGCAGCACAATGACAAAACTGACGTGGTCAGCCAGCAATATCAAAACTCAAAAATACGGGAGAAAAAAATTATTGTATAAAAACATGACGTACGCATGCTACATTTGTGAATAGCAGGTGAAAAAAAAAATCGCTTCAAGACAAATTAAAGTAAAGGCATTCTCGGTTTTCATCTCTCAAGAGAGTATAGAGAGATTAGGCGTGCCAAATAGGACAGAGCTAACAACGAACAATGGTATTGAAAAGATTTACTGTTCTCCATTCTGAACAAGGCACTACAGAGAGAGAATGGCACGACACACGAGGCAGAATTCTCCTAAAGAAGTTATCAGATTTTTGGAAATATGTCGTCAGCATCTGAGGATCCTGTAGCCTGTTCCATTTACGTTATGTCATATTTTATTAATATGTGTTCATAAAAATGTGAGCATGTTCAGATGTGCTCAAGAAAGAGTTGGAAAATGATCATGTTGGTAGAATGAGGCTTATTTCTACAAGAGTGTGTGTGCTCAAGTTGATTTGAGTGTGTGTGTGTGAAGTGTGTGTGTGTGTACGAGTGTGTACACATATTTGTATGTATGTGCTCCCGTGTGCAACTGTGTATTTGTGTGCACGCACTCACGTGCATGTGTATGTGTGTGTATATGCCTACATGAAAACAAGAGGAACATAGGCTTAAATCCCCTCTTTCCACTCATTCCTATGGTGAACCTGGCGTGAATTCCTTCCTTCCTCTCCCCTGGCACACTTGTCTTTCAGCCTTTTATTTACTCCAGTTCTGCCATCTCAACTTTTGACCAACTAGTCTCAGTCTGCCAGTTTAACTTATTTAAAACTTTCAATCTATTCTTCCCTCCTTCACATCAAAAACTGGATACCCACATGTCAAACACAACATCATTGTCCTGTGACAAGACTCGATAACCCGCACAATTTTTTTTTCCTTTCTAATTTGACGAGTTTGATAGTAAACGATCTTTTTCTTATGCTCAGTCAGAAACAGGTCTGACTTTTGACTAGGAATTCTCCTCAAACATTAGAAATAAAGCCGAAGAACCCACCAGCCACATAATAAAACAAAACAGGTTTTTTGCCACTCCTGAAAACTTTACTCCACAAAGTTTAGCCTGTCTTGTCACACGGGAGACAACATGTGAGAGGAGAATGTGTCTGCCCCCACCAACCTTTTTCCCAGCCCTCAGAGTCCCTACTCCTCAACATCTAAAAAAAGACACTGATATAATTCCCATTTGTGAATGTAGGGCTTCAGAACAGAAAAATCCTCGGCTTTGTTAGCGCGGCTGGAACAGTATATTCATAGTCACCAGTAGCAGGACTTCGCCTTATTGAAAAACCAAGAGACCGACAGATAGATACAGACGCAACATATCATGTGGAAGGAACGTTTAAACTAGTGCTTCTTTTCAGAAAAGTCACTCCTTTCCTCTTGTATTTGTTACTCCTTTCCTCTTGTATTTGTTACTCCTTTACTCTTGCACTTCCAAAGACTGCCACTCTCCCCCCAACCTTTTTATCTCATCCATTGTTTGTTCACCGTCTCTCTTTGCCTCCTATAATCTCTCTCCTCCATTGTTTGTTCACCGTCTCTCTTTGCCTCCTATAATCTCTTCTCTATTGTTTGTTCACCGTCTCTCTTTGCCTCCTATAATCTCTCTCCTCCATTGTTTGTTCACTGTCTCTCTTTGCCTCCTATAATCTCTTCTATTGTTTGTTCACTGTCTCTCTTTGCCTCCTATAATCTCTTCTATTGTTTGTTCACTGTCTCTCTTTGCCTCCTATAATCTCTCCTCCATTGTTTATTCACTGTCTCTTTTTGCCTCCTACATACTCTCTCCTCCTCCTCCTCCTCCCCCTTAAGTTTCTGGAGATCTCAAAGAAGAAAACAGAAGCAAAAGGGACATTCCAGCCCACACACTCAGCAGACAGAGGTCAAACGCTTGCGGCAATCCCAAGCAGAGGGAGAGAAGCGGTCAAGGAACAGCATCAAACATGTCGTCAGTTCAAAGAAAAGCTGCAATGCTAGCGGCTCCAAAAGAAAAATGAAAAGGATAATCAAACAGAAAATGTCTTGGAGAAGAACTAAAACGACGGAAGGACAGAATAAGTAAGTGAACCAGATCTTGGCAATAGAAAAATTTAACCAGGGCACTCCCCGGCCCCTTCCCACCAAAACCAGGCCAAAGTAACAACCTTCAGATCTTTCGGCACATGAAATGAGACTGAATAAAATTAATTCAGAAATAAGGATGAAAAAAATGAACACCACCCTAGAGGCAATCAATTTTCTAAATCATGACAAAAATCCTTTTAAACTGAGGGTGATCAAAGTCAAAGAAAAATTTCCAGCTGACCAATTTACCTTAACAAAAGAAGTGCAATAAAAAAAAAAGAACATTTTTTTAGTCTCTAATAGAGAAATTAAAATCAAGAGACATACAGATAGATTACTTATGATTTCTTTCTTCTTCTTCAAGTGCCAGATTTTGTACAGACATTGTGAGGTGATTTTGGTTTGCTACTCGATTTCTCTGTTCAGATGCTCACAGAACAACCCTATTATGCTGGTCTGTTCTAACCATTTACTTTTTAAAAAATTACAGTTGACAACCCTACACCAAATAAAGAAGGAAGACGTAAATTCTTCAACATCACAAAGAATGTTTTCAAAGTTATCTTTCCTCCAAGAATACCCTGGCAATACGACATTCAAATGATTTCCTTGCATAAGATGTTTCACTACAATCTAGGAATAATCACTGATCCAACAAATTTGGGATTAGATCCATCCCAAATCTCTCTTCTTTACTTGTACCATGGACTGAATAGCAAACAAGAATGAGTGGTTTTAGTGGTGTTAATTTAGCTGGATGATGTGATATTGCAAAAGTTAAAGATTAAAAGGCAAGATAAAACCAAAAAGAATGCATCAAATGCTATGGAGAAACTGCTAGACTTGGAATAATCTCAACAACAAATGCTTGACTAAAGTGCTACTCAATAACTTCTATATCAATGGGTGCTAAAACTTTCCATCCTGAAAATAGCACTCAAACCCACACAGGTAACCTACATTCTTTCTAGTTTCAGAATACTGTGATATAATAATAACACGATAAAAATTTAGGAAAATTTCGTGACAATACAGTCATGGCTTTTTTTTTTTTAAATAAAAATTAAGTAGCCTATACCTTAACAAAACATTGTTATGTAATTATTTTACATTGTTATGTAATTATTTTATTTAAATATTGTTCTATCATTACAACAAAAAGAGTATTTCTGATGTTTCTGCCAATATCAAATGCCGTGCGTAAAACAAAAACTTATGAAAGCTGTTGTTATTTCTTCAAACTCAAAAAGCAAAAGCATTATTCCAAGTCCTTGTCAATTCATTAAGTGAGAAATCAAGACCGATGCCAGCCCTCTTTAAAAAAAAAAAAAAAAAAAAAAATTCAACAAAAAAAAAAACGCTCAAAAGAAAGGGATTGAGTTAGTGCCTTCAGCAACTGAGCTTCCCCAGCCACGAGGCCTGGTGTGGGGAGATTAGTTCAGGCCTTCATACCCTAGGGTCATAGGTCGCTTCCCAATTTTCTTCCTGCACGCCATAACTTTCTAGAGTGGCTCTCAAGTAGTCCGTGTAGCCCTGGGAGATTGGACAAGCACATATCACATGGGGTCACATCATGGCACACACTCGCAACGCGCCACCAAAAACAATTTACACCACTTGACTGACGAGAAGAACCACAGCCTAAAGAGCCTGTACAACTGCCTCAGTCGGATGTTAAGACTGCCAAAATGGGAAACCATTATACTGACAAAAAAACCCACAAAAAACATACAAAACAAGAAGGTACAAATGAAACAAAAATATGGCAACAGGTTAAAGTTCATCTTGAATAATTCCCCAAAATGAATAATTATTAGTTCAGAACAAAAAATAAGAAAAAAAAAAATTGTTCTTCTTTCTGCTGATGTTTCTTGCCCAGGTGAAATTTTTTTGAGAGCAAGACAATTTTTCCTCAAATTCTGTTGACAGACAGAGGCAGCCATAAGGAGGTAATCAAAACCATTTTCAAAGTCTGAAATTTCATTTACAGGACGGCAAAGGCCTCTTCATAACCTTCACTATTTTTTTCTTTTTTATGACTGGACAAAGCACTGCATCGTGGTGAAAAGAGCAAGTGACAGTCAAACTGGTGCAGTGTGAGCCAGCGTTTGCAGAGTCTGCTGTGTGCTTTTGTCAGGCAGTGGTTATGCTCAGCGACAGGCACAGA